CCCATGTTCACTCTCTTTTTAATCTCAATTTAGATGTAATTTCCTCTACCTAGTTTTTTGGCTGTGGTAGTTATGTTTTACTCCCCAAGCCAGCCCTCCCACCTCATTTTATTGACTTATTACTAACATGTTAAGGACGTATATGTTTAACTCCCTCAGTTCAAAAACAGTGGGGTGAACATGACAAGACTAAACTCTCCATTGCTCCATTATATTATACAAGTAACTGGATAAGACTTGTTTCTGCTAGCAGGAAGCTTATTGTCTCTTTCATATAGAGCAGAAATAGCGCATCCCTGGGGGCTCAGTGGTAACGAATCTGTCTGCCAATGCAGGAGACATGGGTTTGATCCCTGACCCGGGAAGATCCCACAGGCAGTGGTGCAACTCAGCCCGTGTGCCGCAACTACTGTGCCATGAGCTGCAACTACTGAAGCCCTGACCCCAGCTCCACAACAAGGGAAGCTACCTCTTGAGAAGCCCTCACACTGCAACTAGAGAAGGTCCACGCGGCAATGAAGACCTAACACAGTCCAAAATAAATCAAGAATAACAATAAAAGCAAGAAGCAAAATTCTATTTAAAAAGACGAATGTGTATATTTAAGGTGCACATGTTTATTTGTTACATGTCACATGGTGAAGACTACCACCGTCAAGCTAATTAACATATACATCATCTCACAGAATTACATCCCTCCCCTACTTCTTCTAGGGCTTCCCTGGGGTCTCAGTGGTAAAGAATCCACCTGCCAATGCAGGAGACAGAAGAGATTAGGATTCAATCCCTGGCTCGGAAAGATCCCCTGGAGAAGGAGATGGCAACCCTCTCCAGTGTTCTTACCTGGAGAATCCCATGGACAGAGGAGCCTGGTGGGCTGCAGTTCAGGGGATTCACAAGGAGTCGGACAGGACTGAGCGACCAAACAACAGCAGCCCATTTCCTCTACTGACGTCACTCTCCATCCTCTTCCACTCCTCTCTACAAACAGCTGAATCTGCCTTATGCTTCATTCCCGTGGTTTCCTCTGATGCCTTTGATTACTCCCTCTGAGCACTCAGCTGACTGTGTAACTGCCTGGCTCGATCCTTTTCTCTGAACATCAGTGGGATCAGTGCACATTTCTATTCCCCTAATGCATTGTTGGCATACAAAAAGCATTCCGTCTGTCTACTGAATGAATGAGGGCCACAGCCACATCCTGTCAGTACCTGATCCTGCTTCCTTACCTGATTTGGGGAAAGTCAGCAGTAAGACATCTTCATCTTTAACAAGGAAACTCTCCTGCACCTCTCTCAGGATTTCAGGTGAGTAATCCAGGCTTGGGAAGGGTATCCCTTCAAACCACACAAACTTTCCTGTCATGATGATGAGCTCTTTGTACCTCTTGTGAGCCTTTTAGCAGTAGTCACTGTTGAACTGGGCGATGTGTTTTATAGTCAACATCAAACAATCATTAATCTCTCCCAGGTTTTTGATGAGTGTGCCTACCCATAAAAAGAGAGGGTCATGAGATTGATAATATTGGGCAACTGTGAAGTCATTCAGAGAAACTTCTGGGGTGACCTGAGTTTGACTTCACAGGAGGGAACTAGGAGTTTAGTAACAAGATGGGGGATGTAGATATGTGGTGGATTAAAAATGTATATCTTTAAGTTTATTTATTTATTGGCTGTGCCAGGTCTTCATTGCTGTGTGTGGGCTTTTTCTAGCTGCAGCCAGCAGGGATTACTCTCTTTTGCCAAGCTGGGGCTCTAGGCAGCTGGGCTGAACATGCGCACAGGGGCTTGGTTGCCCCAGGGCGTGTGGAAACTTCCCAGATCAGGTATCAAACCTGTGTCCCTTGCAATGTCAGGCAGAATCCTAACCAGTGGACCACCAGGAAAAATCCTAAAATATATTTAAAATAAGCTTTGTTATACTTTCAACACTTTTAGATGTATAGGAAAATTGTATAGATAGTGTAAATAATTCTCATAGTCCATACTTTATTCAGACTTGCTTAGTTTTTAACTAGTATCATTTCTTTTGTCCAAGATCCCACCCCAGACATTACATTACATTGGGTCTTCATGTCTCCTTAGGTCTGTCTTAGCTGTGACAATTTCTCAGACTTTCCTTGTATTTGATGACTTTGACAGTTTTGAGGATTACTGGTCAGGTATTTTGGAGAAGTCCCTCTCTTGGGGTGTCCCCGATGTTTTTCTCATAGTTAGACTGGGTTTCTGGGTTTTGGAGAGGAAGATCATGGAGGTAAAATACTAGTACAGTCACAGCATTTGAAGGGTATTTACTATCAACCTGACATCTCATTGTTGTTGTTGACTTGATCGCCTGGAAGAAGTAATGCTTGTTAGATTTTCCCATGGTGAATTTACTCTCCCCATCTGTTTTTTTTTTTCTAAATTTTTTGGCCATGCCTCATGGCATGTGAGATCTTGATTCTCTGATCAGAGATTGAACCCGTACCCCTTGCTTTGGAAGCTTCCACTGGACTACCAGGGAAGTCCTTACCTTCTTTCCTTTTTATATGGGCATATTTAAAACATGAAGTCTAGACGTGAAGGTATTAATGAGAACATGTTGTGTAAACTCTTGTTGAGTATCTTCTCTAAAACTATTGTCTGGCCCCATTTAAATTATCAAAATATTATTAAAAAAAAAAGAAAAACTGAGGATATGTTCCAGATAGAGGAGAATGTAAACTAAAACCTGGATTGACTTCCAGACCACAGAAAATGCTATTTTTTTATTAGTGGGACAGTTGAGCACATTTGAATGCACACTGTGGATTAGATAATAACATTGCATCAACACAAACTTCCCTGATTCCTATCATTTTTGTGGGATTATAAGGGAAATATTTTTTATCTTAGAAAATATGAAGTTTTTTTAAAAAATTGTATTTATTTATTTTTAACTCTGCTGGGTCTTAGTTGCTGCCCAGGCTTTTTCTCGAGTTGTGGTGAGCCGGGCTACTCTTTAGTTAAGGTGAGGAGGTATCTGATTGCTGTGGTTTCTCTTGTGGAGCCCAGGCTCTAGGGCACATGGGCTTCAGTAGTTGTGGCTCCTGGGCTCTGGAGCACAAGCTCACTAGTTGTGGTGCATGGACTTAGTTGCTCTGTGACACGTGGGATCTTCATAGACCAGGGAGGAACCCGTGTCTTCTGCATTGACAGGTGGATTCTTAACCACTGAGCCACCAGAGAAGTCTCATACATTGAAGTTTTGAGGGATAAAAGGAAAGGATTTCTGTAACTTACTCTCAAATGGCTGATAAAGTTTATATTGTATATGAGAGTGAAAAATAAGAGCATAATCTAGTAAATGTTGCAAAAGTTTACAGTTGGTAAATCTGTGTGAACTATGAACAAGGATTTTGTGTGTATTTCTTGCAAGATTTCCCTAAGCCTGAAGATAATTAAAAATTTAAAAAAAGTCACTCAGTTGTGTCCAGGTCTTTGCAATGCTATGGGCTACACAGTCCATGGATTTCTCTAGGCCACAATACTGGATGGGTTGCCTATCCCTTCTCAAGGGGATCTTCCTGACCTAGGAAGTGAACAAGGGTCTCCTGCATTGCATGGGTGTTCTTTACCAACTGAGCTATCAGGGAAGTCCTTTAAAAAATCAAAATCAAACTAAATAAATAGATGTAGTGACAATAAGCTAGAGGGAAATTGGGATACCATGGACTTAAATCTCTCACACTTTTTTTTATAGCAACCTAATTTTTAAAGAAATCTATTTGTTCTTTTTATTTTTTTGGCCACTCTTTGTAGCCTGTGGGATCTTAGTTCCCTGTGCAGGGATCAAACCCACACCCCCTGCATTGGAAGCACAGTTTTAGACACTGGACCACTAGGGAAGTCCCTGAAATCTCTCTTTTTAAGCATAAGAGTCAAGAACTTGCTTTAGACTCACAGGTATGGGGGTGAATTTTAATACTTAACTACACGGCAGGATCCAGTTCTTATTTGCCATTTCATCATTAACATACTGAGAATTTATGAAACGCTTCCAGGTTTTAGTGGTTGGGCTGAGAGAATTCTCTTTTTGGCCACATTGAAAATCTATAATAGCAATTGTTATTTTATGGGTCCCACCTTCTATTACCCAGTGGAGGACTCTAGGATTCAAGGCTTCCCACATTCACACAACAAGCAAAAGGAAGAATGCCCGCTTCTGAAATATTGACTCCAGAAGTAATTAAAGAAACATCTACGTTCTATCATTTCTTGGTGGGCTTCAGTCAGCTAAAATTAAGACCATCCAGGGCTTCCCTACCATATCCATATAGGACTACTAGAAACACCATAGTTTTGACTCTACAGATATGACAGTTGGACCATAAAGAAGGCTGTGCCCCAAAGAATTGATGTTTTCGAACTGTGGTGGTTCTGTGCTAAAGAAGACTTTTGAGAGTCCCTTGGACAGCAAGGAGATCAATCCAGTCAATCCTAAGGAAATCAACCCTGAATACTCATTGGAAAGACTGATCCTGAAGTTGAAGCTCCAATACTTTGACCACCTGATGTGAAGAGCCGGTCATTGGAAAAGACTCTGCTGCTGGGAAAGATTGAGGGCAAAAGGAGGAGGGGGCGTCAGAGGATGAGATGGTTAGATTGCATAACAGACTCCATGGACATGCATTTGAGCAAGGTCAGAGATAGTCGGTGACAGAGGACCCTGGCACGCTGCAGTTCATGTGGTCACATGACTTAGTGACTGAACAACAACGATACTTATATTATTTCTTGACCACTCTGTATGAATGAGATGAAACAGTATAACAGTTTTTTGAAAGCTGGGATACAAAGAAGTGAAATAGGGGTACCCTGATAATTTTAATAGTCAGGTCCTCAAAGATGCAGAGATTGGATCAATTGAAGCACAAGGATGAAATAACCAGTTTTATGCAATTACTCCCAGGCCTTCATATATATGAGGACAGGAGAGCAATTATCATTGTTTATATAAGATTCAGAAGTTTTAGATCATTATTTCCATGGGAACAGATCTTGAGGAAGGTCTTCCATCTTCTCCTGGAATAGTTTATCAAAAGTTTCAGCTTGGGCCACCGTGAAGTAATTTTTCCAGTCTCCAGTCACATCTGGCAAATATAAAATAGAGACTCATGTCAGATCTAGGGCTCAGTCTCAAGACTCCAATATGTCTTCTAGATCTATTTATTTTAATATATTGCTATTAAGTAATACACAACACATTCTTACATGTTTTATTTTATATATTAAAAAAATTTATTTATTAGTGGCTATGCTGGGTCTTTGCTGCAGTGCATCAGCTTTCTCCAGTTGCAGTGAGGGCAGGCTACTCTAGTTTCAGTGCACGGGCTTGTCTTATTGCCAAGCATGTGCTCTAGAGCTTGGCCTCAGCAGTTGTGGTGCATTGGCTTAGTTGCCCACAGCCGATGGGCAACTAATCAAACCTGTGTCCCCTGCATTGGCAGGCAGATTCTTAACCACCAGACCATCAGGGAAGGCCCCGATCTATTTCCTTCTGTCTGTTTGACATGGAAATCCCAGTTAATATAGCAGAATGACCAATGGTTTGTTGTTTTCATATGCCTAATGGTCATACTCACTTACACACTGGCCTGCTTGGAACAATTTCCTGCCTTCTTTTCTCTCATCTTGAAAGAAGTTCCTCACCAATAACACTGCTCTATGTTCTATAAAAGATCTTCCCTGCTGGTTCAAACAGTAAAGAATCTGCCTGCAATGCAGGAGACTCAGGTTCAATATCTGGGTTGAGAAGACCCCTGGAGGAGGGCATAACAACCCACTCCAGTATTCTTGCCTGGAGAATCTCATGGACAGATGTCCATGGGGTCTGTAATGACCAGTGTCTAGTCACGTTTCACAACTTCTATTTATACCACCTCCATCCAAGCCAACATCATTCCTCACCTGCATTATTGTATTAGATGTCTAACTATTCCTCTCTGTTTTTAAAAAAATTGTTTATTTTTTATTTGGTCATGCCATTATTTATTTTGCAGCCAAATAACCAAGACATAAAACAGAAACAATATTGTAACAAGTTCAATAAACACTTCAAAATGGTCTGCACCAAAACAAATTAATCTTAAATAACTTTCTCAAGCACCTGCAGCCCACATCAGTACTCTAAAAAGAGATGCCCTGATAAGGGCTCACAGGAGATAATCTCAAGTGATGAGCAGTTTAAGTTGATAAATTCAAACAGTCCCTACTCCCAGTGGTTAGTGCCCTACTACAAGCCAAGAATAATCTCTACATATTCTGATCCATTTTTGAAGGCAGAATGTTTTCTTTACCCTTTCTCAAAAGTTCTCCATTCTCTTCTAAATACCGACCCTTCAGGAGGGAAAAATTGGACATATTGTTTTCTTTCATGGCCTGGAAAGAACTGTTTCTGAGGACCGAGTCCAGTTCTTCTGGTTCTAGTTTCTTGCCCAGGAATTGGCAGATCTTCTCCACAGTGCTCCTCGTGTCCTAGAAGAAGAGAAAATCTGAGAGATTATGTGAAAGAGCAAGAACACAGAAAAGAAGACGAGGGGGAGGAGACAGTAGAAAGAGGAGGAGGAGAGGGGGAGGAAAAGAGGAAAGAAATGTAGAGACGTGAGTAGGGATACAGTTGGAGGAGTCCAGAGTGGGTGAACTGGGTGATTGACATTGACACATAGACACTGTAAATACTAAGTAAAGAATAGGTAACTAATGAGAACCTACTGTGTGGCACAGAGAACTCTAGCCAATGCTCTGTGGTGACTTAAATGGGAAGGAAATACAAAAAAAAAAAAAAAAAAAAAAGAGGGGATATGTGCATAGGTATAGCTGATTCACTTTACCCTAGAAGCTATATACACTGTAAAGCAACTATACATCAATAAAACTTTTGAAAAATTTAAAAATGACTTAGAGAAAGGTTGAAGAAAAATAGATCAAAAGACCATGATGGATTTCTCAGTATAGTTGAATTCAGGACACATTGAAACACTAAAATGCTGGGTTTTCTAAAGAGGCTTAAGAAGGGCTTCTAGACAGTTATGATCAGGATTAGGGAAGAGAGTTTCAGGGAGAAATTGACAAAAATTTAAGGAATTGGCTATGTGCCCAAATAATGCTGTTTTTCACAACTGACATTTGAATAAAATAAGAGAGCTTTACCATATCATCTTATTTATTGTATCAATACTTCGCCATGATCTTGGGAGATGATGATAAGAAAAAGGATTTTATAACAAGAAAAGCTTTGCTTTAAATCAGACTTTCCTCTTAGAGGTATAATGCTTTAAAGGTTTTCTTTATTCCATGAGCCTTCAGTATGGTCTAACAAGTAATCACATACCTGGGGCAGTCCTAAGATGTGGAGGAATAGGATGGGGAGACCACTTTCTCCCCGACAAATTCATCAAAAAATCATTTGAATGCTGAGCAACTTTTACAAAACAACTTCTGAATGCTGGCGGGGGACTCCAGGTACCCAGAAAGGCAACCCATTCTCTTCAAAAGGAGGTAGGACAAAATATAAATGACAAAAAGAAAGACAAAATTGTTAGGGATGGAGACCCATCCCAGGAAGGGAGTCGTGAAGGAGGAGACGTTTCCAAACACCAGGAAACCCTCTCACCAGTGGGTCTGTGGCGAGTTTTGGAATCTCAGAGGGCAACATAACCAGGAGGGAAAAAAACAAAGCCCACAGAATATGTGCCTTAAGCACAATTCCCAGCAGAGAAATAACCCAGATGTTCCCATCTGCCACCAGCAAGTGGGGGAGGCGTGGGTTGCATGCTTAGGGTAAGGGCCAGGCCTGAATGCCCAGAGGACAATCTGAAGGAGCTAATGTGAGATAGCAACCCAAACTGTGGGATAGCCAGAGAGAGAGGGGGAAAAAAAAGACACAGAGAGAGAGAACAAAAAGCTTTAATCTAAGGCACAGCCTGGCTGGCTCCCAGAACAAAGGATTGAGTGAATACAATAGGAGAGCTAGCTGGCTGCAGACTGGCCCATCTCCATGTGAGAGGCAGAGAGGCAGGTAGGTGACAGCCAGAGCTGTAAGCCAGGGGGCAATCTTGGCCCCAGAGACAGCATCCTATACCAAACTGAGCAGGCTCCCAGTTGCTAACTAACTCTTCCTGGGATCCTGGATGGTTGACATCTGCCAGGAGGGTTGCAGCCTGAGATCAGCCCCCCAGAGGAGACACGGCACAGCTGAGATGGCGCTTTTACGATGCACCCAAGCGATGCAACTGAGCGGCTGGGGCCGGGGAGGTGATAAGACGCACCACACACCTGGGATAGTGCGCTCAAAAAGCACCTGGTTGCCTGAGCTCCTCGGACCTGGGAAGGGCACAAAACGCAGGCCCAAATGAGTCTCTGCCTTTGCGGAGTACCCGAGAACCTGAACCTGAGCAGCTTAGACCTGGGAAGTGCATGCAACCCAGGGCCCGCTTTGGACAGTTCCCCTTCAGAGCAACCTGGAGCCTGAGCAGTGTAGACCGGGAAAGCACAGGGGCCGTGAAAGTGAAAGTGAAAGCGAGAGTCGCTCAGTCGAGTCCGACTCTTTGTGACCCAATGGATTATACAGTCCATGGAGTTCTCCAGGTCAGAATACTGGATTGGGTAGCCTTTACCTTCTCCAGGGGATCCTTCCAACCCAGGGATTGAACCCAGGTCTCCCACATTGCAGGTGGATTCTTTACCAGCTGAGCCACAAGCCGCAAGGAACTGAGCCGGGGCAAAGCCAGTGTGGTCCATACACTGCAAGCACTCCCCACACATGCCAGTGATAACTGTTTGCAGCATCCCTCTCACCCTACAGCACCCTGAACAAGTGAGCCTAAATAAGTGACCACCTTTGCCCCCTTGTGTCAGGGCGGAAATTAGACACTGAAGAGACTTGCAAACAGAGGAAGCCAAAATAAGCAAAGAAGATGCTGCTCTGGAAATGACAGGTGCAACAGATTGAAACCCTGTAGTTAGCACTGACTAAGCATTGGAAGGGGCCTATAGACCTTGAGAAGAAGTATAAACTGGAACAAGGAACTATCTGAAACTGAACTGACCCCACACTGTCCTCAACAGCTCCAGAGAAATTTCTAGATATATTTTTACTATTATCATTTTTTAGTTTTTTATTTTTAATTTCTTTATTAGTCCTTTAATTTTCATTTTGATAACCTACTATTACTTTGCAAAAAAAGACCCTATTTTTAAAGCAATTTCACATATATATTTTTTTATAATATTTGTGATTGATATTGTTTTGTATTTTTGAGATTTTAACCTTTACTCTAGATTTTTCATCTTTGCTTTTTGTTATTTGTTATCAATTTTGTACCTTTAAGAATCTAATCTTCAGTACCCATTTTCACTTAGGGATGTGATTACTGGCTTGATTGCTCTCTTTTCTCCCCCAGGTCACCTATATCTTCTCCCTCCCCCTTATCTTTTCTACTTAACTCTGTGAATCTCTCTGGATGTTCCAGGCTGTAGAGAACACTTAGGGAACTGATTACTGGCTAGATTGGTCTCCCCACTTTTGACTGCCCTTCTTCTCCTCCTGGTCACCTCTATATCCCTCCTTCCTCTTCTCTTTTTTATGTAATTCCGTGACCTTCACTGGGTGTCCCTCACTGTAGAGGATCTTTTCACCATTAACCTATATGTTTTATCATCAGTGCTGTATGGATGGAGAAATCTTGAGGCTACTCGAAGAATGAGACTGAAAGCCAGAGGCAGGAGGCTTAAATCCAAAACATGAGAACACCAGAGAACTCCTAACTCCAGGGAATATTAATCAACAAGAGCTCATCCAAAAGCCTCCATACCTACGCGGAAACCAAGCTCCACCCAAGAACCAACAAGTTCCAGAGCAAGACATGCCACACTAATTCTCCAGCAACGCAGGAACATAGCCCTGAGCATTAAAGTACAGGCTGCCTAAAGTCACACCAAACCTATCATAGACACCTCAAAACTCACTACTGGACGCTTCATTGCACTCCAGAGAAAAGAGATCCAGCTCTACCCACCAGAACCCCAATGCAAGCTTCCCTAACCAGGAAACCTTGACAAGCCACTAGCCTAACCCCACCCACAGGGAGCAACCTCCACAATAAAGAGGAACCACAAACTTCCAACATACAGAAAGGCCACCCCAAAGAGAGCAATCTAAACAAAATGAAAAGGCAGAGAAATATTCAGCAGGTAAAGAACATGATAAATGCCCACCAAACTGAACAAAAGAGTAGAAGATAGGGAGTCTATCTAAGAAAGAATTCAGAATAATGATAGTAAAGATGATCCAAAATCTTGAAAACAAAATGCAGTTATAGATAAATAAACTATAGACAAGGATTGAGATGATGCAAGAAATGTTTAACAAGGACCTGGAAGAAATAAAAAAGAGTCAGTAAATAATGAATAATGCAATAACTGAGATCAAAAGCACTCTGGAGGGAACCAACAGTAGAGTAACTGAGGCAGAAGATAGGATAAGTGAGGTGGAAGATAGAATGGTGGAAATAAATGAAGCAGAGAGGAAAAAAGAAAAAAGAATTAAAAGAAATGAGGACAACCTTGGAGACCTCTGGGACAATGTTAAACACCCCGCATTCGAATCATAGGAGTCCCAGAAGAAGAAGACAAAAGGAAAGGCCATGAGAAAATACTTGAGGAGATAATAGTTGAAAACTTCCCTAAAATGGAGAAGGAAATAACCATCCAAGTCCAAGAAACCCAGAGGGTCCCAAACAGGATAAATCCAAGGTGAAACTCCCCAAGACACATATTAATCAAATTAATGAAGATCAAACACGAAGAGAAAATATTAAAAGCAGCAAGGGAAAAGCAACAAGCAACACACAAGGGGATTCCCATAAGGATAACAGCTGATCTTTCAATAGAAACTCTTCAGCCCAGAAGGGACTGGCAGGACACACTTACAGTGATGAAAGAGAAAAATCTACAACCCAGATAACTGTACCCAGCAAGGATCTCATTCAAATATGAAGGAGAATTCAAAAGCTTTACAGACAAGCAAAAGCTGAGAGAATTCAGCACCACCAAACCAGCTCTTAAACAAATGCTAAAGGATCTTCTCTAGACAGGAAACACAGAAAAGGTTTATAAACACGAACTTTAAATGATACAACAGACCAGTTAGACCTAATTGAAATCTAGGACGTTTCACCCCAAAATAATGAATTTCACCTTTACCTCAAGTGCACATGGAACATTCTCCAGGATAGATCACATATTGGCCATAAATCTAGCCTTGGTAAAGTAAAAAAAATTGAATTCATTTCAAGCATCTTTTCTGATCATGATGCGGTAAGATTAGACGTCAACTACAGGAAAGAAACTACTAAAAATACAAACATATGGAGGCTAAACAACACGCTTCTGAGTAACCAACAAATCACAGAAGAAATAAAAGAAAATATGCACAGAAACGAATGAAAATGAAAACACAACAACCCAAAACCTATGGGATTCAGTAAAAGCAGTGCTAAGGGGACGGTTCATAGCAATACAAGCTTACCTCAAGAAACAAGAAAAAAATCAAATAAATAACCTAACTTTACACCTAAAGCAACTAGAAAAAGAAGAAATGAAGAACCCCAGGGTTAGTAGAAGGAAAGAAACATAAAAACTAGAGCAGAAATAAATGAAAAAGAAACAAAGGAGACTATAGCAAAAATTAACAAAACAAAAAGCTGGTTCTTTGAGAAGATAAATATAATAGACAAACCATTAGCTAGACTCATCAAGAAAAAAAGGGAGGAGAATCAAATTAACAAAATTGGAAATAAAAATGGAGAAATCACAACAAACAACACAGAAATACAAAGGATCATAAGAGTACTGTCAGCAACTATATGCTAATAAAATGGACAACTTGGAAGAAATGGACAAAATATTAGAAAAGTATAACCTTCTGAAACTGAACCAGGAAGAAATAGAAAACCTTAACAGACCCATCACAAGCATGGAAATTTAAACTGTAATAAAAAATCTTCCAACAAATGAAGCCCAGGACCAGATGGCTTCACAGGTGAATTCTACCAAAAATTTAGAGAAGAGCTAACACCTATCATACTCAGTCTCTTCCAGAAAATTGCAGAGGAAGGTAAACTGCCAATCTCATTCTATGAGGGCACCATCACCCTAATACCAAAACCAAAGATGCCACACAAAAAAGAAAACTACAGGCCAATATCACTGATGAACATAGATGCAAAAATCCTTAACGAAATTCTAGCAAACAGAATCCAACAACATATTAAAAATATCATACATCATGACCAAGTGGGCTTTATCCCAGGGAGGCAAGGATTCCTCAATATTTGCAAATTAATCTATGTGATACACCACATTAACAAATTGAAAGATAAAAAACCATATGATTATCTCAATAGATGCAGAGAAAACCTTTGACAAAATTCAACATCCATTTATGATAAAAACCCTCCAGGAAGCAGGCATAGAAGGAACATGCCTCAACATAATAAAGGCCATATATGATAAACCCACAGCAAACATTATCATCAATGGTGAAAAGTTGAAGGCATTTCCCCTAAGTCAGGAACAAGACAAGGGTGCCCACTCTCACCACTACTACTCCACATAGTTTTGGAAATTTTAGGCACAGCAGTCAGAAAAGAAAAAGAAATAAAAGGAATCCAGATTGGAAAAGAAGAAGTAAAACTCTCACTGTTTGCAGATGACATGATCCTCTACATAGAAAACCTCAAAGATACCACCAGAAAATTACTAGAGCCAATGAATGGATATAGTAGAGTTGCAGGATATAAAATTCACACGCAGAAATCCCTTGCATTCCTATACACTAACAATGAGAAAACAGAAAGAGAAATTAAGGAAACAATTCCATTCACCATTGTGATGAAAAGAATAAAATACTTAGGAATAAAGCTACCTAAAGAACAAAAGACCTAAATATAGAAGACTATAAGACACTGATGAAAGAAATCAAAGAAGACACAAATAGATGGAGAAATATACCATGTTTATGTATTGGAAGACTCAATACAGTGAAAATGAGTATACTACCCAAAGCAATCTATAGATTCAATGCAACCCCTATCAAGCTACCAATGATATTTTTCACAGAACTAGAACAAATAATTTCACAATTTGTATGGAAATACAAAAAACCTCGAATAGCCAAAGCAATCTGGAGAAAGAAGAATGGAACTGGAGGAATCAACCTGCCTGACTTCAGGCTCTACTACAAAGTCACAGTCATCAAGACAGTATGGTGCTGGCACAAAGACAGAAATATAGATCAATGGAACAAAATAGAAATAAATCCCAGAGATAAATCCACACACCTATGGACACCTTATCTTTGACAAAGGAGGCAAGAATACACAACAGAGAAAAGACAATCTCTTTAACAACTGATGCTGGGACAGCTGCTCGACCACTTGTAAAAGACTGAAACTAGAACACTTTCTAACACCATACACAAAAATAAACTCAAAATGGATCAAAGATCTAAATGGAAGACCAGAAATTATAAAACTCCTAGAGGAAAACATAGGCAAAACACTCTCTGACATAAATCACAGCAGGATCCTCTATGACCCATCTCCCAGAGTAATGGAAATAAACGCAAAAATAAACAAATGGAACCTAATTAAACTTAAAAGCTGTTGCACAACGAAGGAAACTATAAGCAAGGTGAAAAGACAGCCTTCAGAATGAGAGAAAATAATACTAAATGAAGCAACTGCCAAAGAATTAAACTCAAAAACATACAAGCAGCCTATGCAGCTCAATTCCAGAAAAATAAACGACCCAATAAAAAAAATGGGCCAAAGAACTAAACAGACATTTCTCCAAAGAAGACATACAGGCGGCTAACAAACACCTAAAAAGATGCTCAACATCACTCATTATCAGAGAAATGCAAATTAAAACCACATTGAGGTACCATCTCACGCTGGTCAGAATGGCTGCTATCAAAGAGTCTACAAACAATAAATGCTGGAGAGGGTGCAGAGAAAAGAGAACACTCTTACACTGTTGGTGGGAATGCAAACTAGTACAGCCATTATGGAGATTCCTTTAAAAACTGGAAATAGAGCTTGCATATGACCCAGAAATCCCACTGCTGGGCATACACACCGAGGAAACCAGAATTGAAAGAGACACGTGTACCCCAATGTTCATCGCAGCACTGTTTATAATAGCCAGGACATGGAAGCAACCTGGATGTCCATCGGCAGATGAATGGATAAGAAATCTGTGGTACATATACACAATGGATTAGTACTCAGCTATTAAAAAGAATGCATTTGAATCAGTTCTAATGAGGTGGATGAAACTGGAGCCTATTATACAGAGTGAAGGAAGTCAGAAAGAAAAACACCAATACAGTATATTAACATATATATATGGGATTTAAAAAGATGTAACGATGAACCTATATGTGAGACAGCAAAAGAGACACAGATGTAAAGAACAGACTTTTGGACTCTGTGGGAGAGGGCCAGGGTGGGATGATTTGAGAGAACAGCATTGAAACATGTATATTACCATTTGTGAAATAGATCACCAGTCCAGGTTTGATACATGAAACAGGGGGCTCAGGGCTGGTGCACTGGGATGACCCTGAGGGATGGGATGGGAAGGGAGGTGTGGGGGGGGTTCAGGATGCGAGACACATGTACACCCATGGCTGATTCATGTCAATGTATGGCAAAAACCACTACAATATTGTAAGATAATTAGCTTCCAATTAAAATAAATAAATTAATTAATTAAATAAAAGAGATCACACATCTGTAAAAATAACAACAACAACAAGAACAACGTGGACAAAACAGAACAAAAATCCTAATGAAAAGAAAACAAAGGGGCTCCCCTGGTGGCTCAGTGTTAAAGATTCAGCCTGTCAGTTCAGGAAACTGGGTTCGATCCCTGGTCTGGGAAGATCCCACCTGCCTCAAAGCAACTCAGCCCGTGTGGCATAACTGTTGAGCCTGTGCTCTAGAATCTGGGCACCACAACAAGAGTACCCCCCGCTCATCACAGCTAGAGAAAGCTGAAGACAGGCATGAAGACCCAGCACAGCCAATACATAAATAAAATTCTTTCTTAAAAAAGCCCTTCATGTTATGGTGAAACAAAGAAAAACATGTGAAGAAAGAGAGCATGGAGCTTTGAAGTGTCAATCAGAAATAAGGCAATGAAGACCAGGTTGCTATTCTCACTCCTATTGACTGCAGGCTAAACTTTGAGAAGGTGGGAGACACAGGGGAATGGAGGGAAGGTGGGGGGAGTGCAGATGGTGGTGAGAGAGTGTGCTGACTCTAAGAGCAATTATTACCCATTTCATCTCTTCATAGCTCAGTATCAGGAAGTTCTCCTTGTCTCTCATGGACAACCAGCCCCAAATGTGGTCAAACTATGATCCAAATACCACTGCATGGAGGGGAGGCAGAAAGAGTGAGTAGATGACACATGGAATGAAAGTAGGGATCCATACACTATGCTCACTCTGTGGGAACAGTTGCTAGCACAATGCTGGGCACATTTATGTTTGTTATAACTGGTATCCAACACCATGCATTTGCCCTTGAGCAAGCCTAATCCCTTTGGAGCAGGTTTTGTATACAGTTCTCAAGGGTCTGTAAGAAGATCTTGTCCAGAGAGCCATGTGGTCTGAGAAATGGCTTTTTTTTTTTTTTTTTGCCTCTTATTGTTCAGCATTTAGATATTTTTTCTTATTAGGTACATTCTCACAACACTTGTTCCCCCCGCCCCCCGCGCATCATCTTTCCTTCATTGTTGCTGTTGGAATTATTATTCCTTGGGAAACCAAATCAGGAAGGGAATACTGGCTTCAGTGGTTGCAGTGCACCCACCCAGTTGCGCTATGGCATGTGGGATTTTCCCAGACCAGGGATCAAACCCATGTCGCCCACCTTGGCAGGGAGATTCAGAACCACTGGACCACCAGGGAAGTCTTGTTGCTCTTTTTCTGAAAGAGTAGCCTGAAGCAAATCAGGAGATACGGCTGAAGAGTACACTCAGGATCAGCTCAATAAAAACTATGACTTCCAGTGCTTGAAGATAGGACTTTAGTGTTGAGGGCAAAAAAAAAAAAAAAGAAGTGAGGGAGCCTGAACTGTTTAATATAGAAGTGATGATTGCCTCATAGCCTGGAAGGGCCACAGGGCATGCAGATGAGGACAATAAAGAGCCTGTAGCATTACTCCTATAGACCAAGGACATCACTAGATTCTCCCCTGTCGACAGCAGCACCATCAACTGTCTTGGTGACCAGTGTGTCCCAGCTGCCCAAGAAGCAGAAAAGATGTCGAGTTACAGAAGAATGTTGGCAGACAGGGAGCAGAGTGAATGTCCACTGATGGCAGGATGCCCTCTGTGAGCATCAAAGAGTGACATTAATAGATCTCCTAATGACATTAATAAGATCTCTTTGCTTTATTTCATGTTGTATTTGTTGATTTATTTGTCATCTCTCACTGATGATAATGGGGCTTCCCAAGTGGCAGCAGGGGTAAAGAATCTGCCTGCCAATGCAAGAGGGCTGGAGATGTGGGTTCAATCCCTGGGTCAGGAAAATCCCCTGGAGGAGGGAATAGTAACCCACTCCGATATTCTTGGACAATTCCATGGACAGAGGAGCCAGGCATGCTACCGTCCAGGGCTTTGCAAAGAGTCAGAGATGACTGATCGACTGTGCATGCACACACATGTGGCAAGCACTACTCTAAGGCCTGGAGTCAACAATGAAGAACTCAAAGACCTTACATGTTAGTGGAGAGACATGTAGCAGAAACAAATAAATAGAATACATACTCACTGGTGATGAGTACTAAGGAAGGGGGGGAAGGTGAAACTATAGAGATGGGGAGACATGCCATTTTGTATAGTTTATGAAAAGGATCAGACATGACTGAAGGACTAAACAACACTGACCCTCTCCAGTGAAGACGTCCATTGGCTGTTAAAGAAAGAGGTCTGAAACCGGGAAGAGGTATCACAGGTGAGATACTAGATTCATCACATAGTTTTGAGAAAAACTGCAACATTTCAAGTATCTGAGAATGTTTAGAAGTTCTGCATAATTAAAAGTATAGAGGGCTTTCCCTGCTGGTCCAGTGGCTAAGACTCTGTGCTTCAATTCAGAGGGCTAGGGTTCTACCCCTGGTCAGGGAACTAGATCCCACATGCTGGAATGAAAGAACCCACAAGCCACAACTAAGTTGGAAGAATCTGCCTGCCACAACTAAGATGGAAGGACTCACATTCCACTTCTAAGACCTGATGCAGCTAAATAAATAAATAATTAATTTTTAAAAATAGAGGTCCTCAGTGAATGTGTGCTAAGTCACTACAGTTGTGTCCTACTCTCTGCGACCCCAGGGACCGGAGCCTGCCAGGCTCCTCTGTCTATGGGATTTTCCTGGCAAGAATACTGGAGTGGGTTGTCATGTCCTCCTCCAGGAGATCTTCCCGACCCAGGGACAGAACCTGTATCTCCTGCATCTCCTGTATTACAGCCAGATTCTTTACCTACTTAGCCACCTGGGAAGCCCATAAAGGCTCTGGGGTAATGCATACAGTATTTAGACACAGAGGACAAGAAATTAAGGGACTTTTCAAAAGATGCGCACGTAAATGGTGGAAAGTCAGGACTGTGTTGTCCAGGAGGCCAACAAAAACTGCCTTTCAGAGAGTCTCGTGACTTTCACAAATGTAGGAGAGTACAGGAGAAGAATATGAGTGCTTTGTGTTAGTATTAGGTCATGGAGATTCAGAAAATAGCTAGGATAGTTTCTAATGGGGCAAGAAAATAAAAGGCTGGTTGAAGTTCTTCTGCTTTACAAGATAGTATGTGGATTTAGAAAATTTGGGTTCCAGTGGTGATGGAACCCTATACCAATGCATTGGTTAGATGTATAGACATCAAATTTGGTTAAAAAATGAAAAGAGGTCTGATGAAGGACTCTGACAACTCCCAGCCTTCATATTTTACATTCACTCACCATTTCCTTGGACGAACCAGTCAAAGTATTGTTCCAGTGGCTGTGGTCTCTTAACAAATTTTGCAATCTTCCAGTAAAAATAACCAGACACAATAACATCTTTGGGATTTCTGATGAGGTATATCATCTTAAAGAGGAAAATTGGATCATGAAAAATCAATAGTTATTTTCCAACCTTCTTAATTGTCATAAAAATGGAAAAAAAAAACAGTTCCTAGAAAGTGCCCTTTAAATATCATGGATTATTTTAATAAACTAGTTATTACATTCATTAATCAAATATTTATTTTAAAGTTCCTGTGAACTAGTCACTGGACCAATAGTAAGGCAATTAAGGAAGAGGAAAGCATTGTTCTTTCACTCTGGGATATTATAGACTAAAGAATCTTTCTGTCAGTGCAAGAGATGCCAGAGACGTGGGTTTAATCCCTGGGTTGGGAAGATTCCCTGGAGTAGGGCATGGCAACCCACTCCAGTATCCTTGCCTGGAAAATCTCAGAGACAGAGGACCCTGGTGGGCTACAGTCCATGGGGCTGCAAAGAGTTGGACATGACTTAAACGACAGAGCACCACCACTGGGCCACCAGGGAAGCCCTGATGAAGACTGTCTTGACTACTGTACACTGACCTTGGCCTTGGATTTGAAGAAAGACTTGGGGAAGAGTTGGATGGGGAGGTGAGAACTGATGAGACGTGGGCCTTCCTTCTCCTTTAGTAATTCACACCCATACTTAGCCTCTACCCAGGGGGAGCGGTCCCAAATGGGCTCAGATTGGACCCACTTGGAATCCCCCTTGGAGTAAATTAGGCAGGCAGTTTCAATCAACCAGTTTGTTCCTAGATAAAGAAAGGAAAAATACGATCATTCATTTTAATCTGACTTTTAAAAATTCTTATAATGTATACAGAGCATAAAAGATGCCATTTTAGCCGTCTTTAAACGTACAGTTCAGTTGTTGCTGTTTAGTCGCTCAGTCATGTCCAACTCTTTTTGCAACCCCATGGACTGTAATCCTCCAGGCTCCTCTGTCTTTGGGATTTCCCAGGCAAGAATACTGGATTGGGTTGCTATTTCCTTCTGCAGGGGATCTCCCTGACCCAGGGATTGTACCCACATCTCCTGCATTGGCAGGTGGACTCTTTACCACTGAGCCCCCAGGCAGCCCTGTACAGCTCTGTAGGGTTAAGAATATTCTCATGGTTGTGCAAACGATCTCCAGAATTTTTCCATCTTGCACAGCTGAACCTCTTGCCCATTAAGTAACAACTTCTCATTTTCTTCTCCTTCCAATCCCTGGCAACCATTCTACTTTCTAACACCTCATTTAAGTGGAGTCATATATACCATGCAGAGTTTGGTGGCTCAGATGATAAAGAATTTTTCTGCAATGCAGGAGACCCAGGTTTGATCCCTGGGTCAGAAGATCCCCTGGAGAAGGGAATGGCTACAGACTCCAGGGTTCTTGCTTGTAGAAACTCATGAACAGGGAAGACTGGAGGGCTACAGTCTCTGGGATCATGAAGAGTCAGACAAAACTGAACAACTAACACTTTCCCTTCACTCCATACATACTATGTCTTCATAGGTTATCCGCGTTGTAGCGTGTATCAGAACTCCATTCCTTTCTAAGGCTGAATAATATTCTACAATATGTGGATAATAAATTTTGCTTATCCATTCATCTGTCAGTGGACCTCTGGGTTGCTTCTACGCTTCAGCTACTTGCTTAAATCCTTTGAACATGTTCCCATTGCTCTTGGCCTTTGAACAGATCCCCATTGCCCTTGGCTCATCATTACCACAGCACTTCTGATAACTTCAGCCTTGCTTCTTACCCAGTCACAGTCCCTCTATGACCCTGCCACTCTTAGATATATAATCCACATCCTTTCAGTTCAGTGGATTTGTCAAGTTCTTTTCCAGTTCCTGATCACTATCCATGCTGATACCTTTACTGGAAAATCTGTCCTTTTAAAAAAATTATCCTTATTTATGCATTTATTTTTGGTTGGGTCTTGCTGCACTTGGGCTTTCTCCAGTTGTGGTGAGCAGGGGGCTACTCTCTAGTTGTGATGCTCAGGCTTCCCATTGCAGTTACTCCTCTTGTTGCAGAGCATCTGCTCTAGAGCCTGCAGGCTACAGTAGTTGCAGCACATGGCATATGCTCCACAGCGTGGAGGATCTTTCTGGACCAAGGATTGAACCCATGTCCCCTGCAAGGCAGGCAGATTGTTAACCACTGGACCATCAGGGAAGTCCTGGAAAATATCTCTTTTCACAAAATAATTTCACATTCACTCTTTTTTAAAAAAAATTTTCTTTTCCTGCTGCTAATTCTCTTTTTTCTAAAAAAAAGATTTATTTATTTTATCATTTATGCCTGTGTTATGTTTTCATTGTTGCACTCGGACTTTCTCTAGTTGCAGTGAGCAGGGGCCACTGAGAAGCCTTCTCATTGCAGTGGCTTCTTTTCTTGTGGAGCACAGGCTCTACACACACGGCTTTAGCAGTTGTGGCTTGTGAGCCCTAGAGCACTGGCTCAATAGTTGCGGTGTACAGGCTTACTTGCTCCACAGGATGTGAAATATTCGCTGACCAGGGATTGAACAGGGAAGCCCCACGTTCACTCTTTTTGATCTCAATTTAGTTGTCATTTCTTCTACCTTGCTTTTTGGCTGTGGTAGTTATGTTTTATTCCCCACACCAGCCCTCCCACCTCATTTTATTGACTTATTACTAACATGTTAAGGACGTATACGTTTAACACCCTCAGTTCAAAAAAAGTGGGGTGAACATGGCAAGACTATGCTCTCCATTGCTCCATTATATTATACAAGTAACTGGATAAGACTTGTTTCTGCTAGCAGGGAGCTTATTGTCTCTTTCATATAAAGCAGAAATAGGGCATCCCTGGCAGCTCAGTGGTAAAGAATCCGCCTGCCAATGCAGGAGACATGGGTTTGATCCCTGACCCGAAAAGATCCCACAGGCAGTGGGGCAACTCAGCCCGTGTGCCGCAACTACGGTGCCATGAGCTGCAACTACTGAAGCCCTGACCCGGGCTCCACAACAAGGGAAGCTACCTCTTGAGAAGCCCTCACACTGCAACTAGAGAAGGCCCACGCAGCAATGAAGACCTAACACAGTCCAAAATAAATCAAGAATAATAATAAAAGCAAGAGGCAAAATTCTACTTAAAAAGACGAATGTGTGTATTTAAGGTGCACATGTTCATTTGTTACATGTCACATTGTGAAGACTACCACCATCAAACTAATTAACATATACATCATCTCACAGAATTACATCCCTCCCCTACTTCTTCTAGGGCTTCCCTGGGGTCTCAGTGGTAAAGAATCCACCTGCCAACGCAGGAGACAGAAGAGATTAGGATTCAATCCCTAGCTCGGAAAGATTCCCTGGAGAAGGAGATGGCAACCCTCTCCAGTGTTCTTACCTGGAGAATCCCATGGACAGAGGAGCCTGGTGGGCTACAGTTCAGGGGATTCACAAGGAGTCGGACAGGACTGAGCGACCAAACAACAGCAGCCCATTTCCTCTACTGACGTCACTCTCCATCCTCTTCCACTCCTCTCTACAAACAGCTGAATCTGCCTTATGCTTCATTCCCGTGGTTTCCTCTGATGCCTTTGATTACCCCCTCTGAGCACTCAGCTGACTGTGTAACTGCCTGGCTCGATCCTCTTCTCTGAACATCAGTGGGATCAGTGCACATTTCTATTCCCCTAATGCATTGTCAGCATACAGAAAGCATTCCATCTGTCTACTGAATGAATGAAGGCCACAGCCACAGTCTGTCAGTATCTAATCTTGTTTCCTTACCTGATTTGGGGAAAGTCATCAGTAAGACATCTTCATCTTTAATAAGAAAACTCTCCTGCACCTCTCTCAGGATTTCAGGTGAGTATTGCAGGCTTGGGAAGGGTATCCCTTCAAACCACACAACCGTTCCTGTCATGATGATGAGCTCTTTGTACCTCTTGTGAGCCTTTTAGCAGTAGTCACTGTTGAACTGGGAGATCTGTTTTATAGTCAACAGCAAACAATCATTAATCTCTCCCAGGTCGTTGATGAGTGTGCCTGCCCCCAAAAAAGAGAGGGTCACAAGACTGATAATATTGGGAAACTGTGACCTCATTCAGAGAATATTCTGGGGTAACCTGAGTTTGACTTCATGGGAGGGAACCAGGAGTTTAGTAACAAGATGGAGGGTGTAGACATGCGGTGGATTAAAAATGTATATTTTTAAGTTTATTTATTTATTGGCTGTGCCAGCTCTTCACTGCTGTGTGTGGGCTTTTTCTAGCTGCAGCCAGCAGGGATTACTCTATTGCTGCCAAGGTGTGCCGGGAGCCATTATGGGAGGTCCCACCCGTGACGAGGTCGTGAAGAAAATACCTGACAGGCAAGGCCGTCCGGGACCCCATCCATGACGAGGTCACCAGGAAAAAACCTGACAGGCAAGGCTGTCTAGGATAAGGGACCCTCCAGGTTGGCCTCGGCCTCTACCCCACCCTGTATCCTCCTTCCTTTTCTGCTGTTGGTCTTGTTTGCCCTGCTGTGGATTCTTGTGTTGCCTGCCGAGAGCTCTCCTACTCCTCTTTCACTGAATAAAGACCAACTTAAAACCCTTAATTAATAAACCTCCTGGATGCTGGTACCCTATGTAGGGGCCAAGGATGAAGGAAATGCTTCAATTCAAACCCTTTTGCTGGCATTCTGGCTTGTTTGATAAATGTGTGCTCTCATTGCAAAAAATGCTCATGATTGTTCTAAACATCCTAAGCACAGTACGCTAACAAAAGAAACTATTAAGCATAGGTCCCTCCGTGGGGTGAGAAAAGCTCCACAAATAGCCACAAATGTGCCTAATAGAAAATAGTTTAGTTAGAGATTAGCTGGCGACTTCTTGCAGGTAATTAACTTTTAGACTAAGAGCCTGTTTTGTGCCATATCTGCTGTTTTTGCAGTCCTTCGCATTTCTGTTCTGTAAAAATGTAATCCTATCTAGTTCCCATGGAGATGACACCTAATAGAAAATAGATTAACCACAAAAAAGACAGGGTCAGCTACTGAAGTTGCTTAAATTTACACCAGGTGCAAGCAATAAATTGTCAACAGGCCTGAAAGCCAAAAGATATTATACATAGAAATTAACCATAAAAAAGGACCTAATAGGCACAAAGCCCTTTACGGGGTGAGGAAGCCCTATTAGAGAACACAAAAAATATTATTTTAAAAGTGGTTATTGGATCAACATTTGATTGCTGTTAATGTGCTGAGGTTGTGCAGTGGAAACTATTGTTAATATAGTTGGAGATCTAGAAAATTAAGAATTTAGCCCTAGTGTAAAAACAATAAGATAATTATTAATTTTAACCAGGAGTGCTAAAAAGGAGCTGCCTCACCAGAGCCGCAGAGTCTTTGTGTGTTAAACTTTTTAGATAAATTTAGCTGAGAACTTCTGCAAAAAGACTAACCTTTTTTCTACTATGTTACAACCTGCTGTATCATGAGACTGCCACTTTTCTGTTTTCTGCTAAGCTCAAGGCCAGAAGATAATGTACAAAAAATCTATGGAAAAAGACTCTCATAAACAAAAATATACAGAGCACACCTGGTTTCGTGAAGGACAAGCTGATGTAATGTTAAACTAAGTCTGTATGCTTATCTCCCCCTTAGAAATGTACCAGCTTAGGGTATAAAGGCTACGGTGAAAAATAAAGCAACTGCCAGACTCTGCTGCACATCCTGGTCTGGTCTCTCTCTCTCTCTCTCTCTTTCTTTCTCCCTCTCTCTCATTCGCCGATGCCATTCATCCTGAGGGTTCCCCTGGATCCTGCTGGGGCTGGACCCCAACAAAGGTGGGTCTCTAGGCAGCTGGGTTGAATATGTGGCGCAGGGGCTTGGTTGTGCCAGGGCATGTGGAAACTTCCTGGACCAGGTATTGAACCCATGTCCCTTGCATTGGCAGGCAGAATCCTAACTGCTGGACCATAGGGAAATCCAAAAAATATTTTTTTAATAAACTTTGTTATTTTTGTTTCAACACTTTTAGATGTATAGGGAAATTGTAAAGATAGTGTAAAGACTTCTCATAGTCCATACTTTATTCAGACTACCTTAGTTTTTACTCAGTATCCTTTCTCTGGTACAAGATCCTATCCCAGACACTACATTACATTGTGTCTTCATGTCTCCTTAGGTCTCTCCTGGCTGTGAAAGTTTCTCAGACTTTCCTTGTCTTTGATGACTTTGATAGTTTTGAGGATTACTGGTCAGGTATTTTGGAGAAGGTCCCTCTCTTGGGGTGTGCCTGATGTTTTTCTCATAATTAGACTGGGTTTCTGGGTTTTGGAGAGGAAGATCATGGAGGTAAAATACTAGTACAGTCACAACATTTGAAGGGTATTTACTATGAACCTGACATCTCAGTTGTATCTGACTCTCTGTGACCCCAGGAAATCTCTAGACCAGAATACTGGAGTGGGTAGCCTTCCCCTTCTCCAGGGAATCTTCCAAACCCAGGTATCAAACCCAGGTCTCCCACATTGCAGGCATATTCTTTACCAGCTGAGCCACAAGGGGCTTTCCCTCATAGATTAGTTGGTAAAGAATACACCTGCAATGCAGGAGACCCCAGTCGAACCCTGGGTTGGTAAGATCCCCTGAAGAAGTGAAGGCTACCCACTCCAGTATTCTGGCCTGGAGAATTCCATGGACTGTATAGTCTATGGGGTTGAAAAGAATCAGCCAGGACTGATTGACTTTCACTTTCACTGACATCTCATTGTTGATGTTGATTTTGATCACCTGGCAGAAGTAATGTTTGTTAGCTTTCCCCACGGTAAATTTACTCTCACCTTCTTTCTTCTTTTTCTTCTTTTTTTTAAAAAATATTTTTGGCCAGGCCTAATGGCATGTGGGATCTTAGTTCTCTGATCGGAGATTGAACCCCTTTCTTTGGAAGCTCAGAGTCTTAACAACTGGACTGCCAGGGAAGTCCTTACCTTCCTTCCTTTTATATGGGCATATTTAAAAGATGAAGTCTAGACCTGAAGGTGTTAATGGAGAACATCTCGTATAAACTCTGATTGAGGAATCTTTAAAAAAATAATTGTCTGGTACCATTCAAATTATCAAATTGGTATTTTAAAACAACTGTAAGGAAAGAAAAACTGCAATATGGTCCAGAGAAATTAGAAGGGAGAATGTAAACTAAATCCTGGATTGACTCCTAAACCACAGAAAATGCTATTATTTTATTATTGGGACAGTTGACCACACTTGAATGCACACTGTGGATTAGATAACAACAGTGCATCAATACTAACTTCCCTGATTTCTGTCATTTTTGTGTTTATAAAGGAAATATTCTTGATCTTAGAAAATATAAAGTCTTTAAAAAATAATTGTATTTCTTTATTTTTAACTCTGCTGGATCCTTGTTGCTGTCCAGGCTTTTCTCTAGTTGCAGTGAACAGATTTCTCATTGCTGTGGCTTCTCTTGTTGTGGAGCATGGGTTCTAGGGCAAAAGGGCTTCAGTAGCTGTGGCTGCCGGGCCCTGAAGCACAGGCTCAATAGTCGTGGTGCATGGGCTTAGTTGCTCTGTGACATGTGGGATCTTCTCAGACCAGGGATGGAATCCTTGTCTCCTGCATTGACAGGTGGACTCTTAACCACTGAGCCACCAGAGAAGTCTCATACACTGAAGTTTTGAGGCACAAAAGGAAAGGATTTCTGTAACTTACACTCGAATGGCTGAAAAAGTTTCTATTGTATATGAGAGTGAAAGAAGCATAGTCTAGCAAATGTTGCAAAAGATTCAGTTCAGTTCAGTCGCTCAGTCGTGTCTGACTCTTTGCGACCCCATGAACCGCAGCACGCCAGGCCTTCCTGTCCATGACCAACTCCCGGAGTCAACCCAAACACATGTCCATTGTGTCGGTGATGCCATCCAACCATCTCATCCTCTGTTGTCCCCTGCTCCTCCTGCCCTCCAATGTTCAAAAGCATTACTGTTGGTAAATCTGTGTGAATTTTGTACAAGAATTTTGTCTGTACTTTTTGCAAGATTTCCCTAAGTTTGAAGATAAATAAAAATGAAAATACAAACTGAATAAACAAATGTAGTGATAATAAGCTGGAGGGAAATTGAGACACCATGGACTGAAATCTCTCACACTTTTTTTTTTATACCAACATAATTTTTAAAGAAATCTTTTTTGGTTTTTTTTTTTGGCCACTTTGTGTGGCCTGTGGGATCTTAGTTCCCTGCTCAAGGATCTAACCCACAAGTCCTGCACTGGAAGCACAGAGATTTAAACACTGGACCACCAGGAAAGTCCCTGAAATCTCTCTTTCTAAGCATAAGGGTCAAGAACTTGCTTTAGACTCACAGGTATGGGGTTGAATTTAAATACCTAACTGCATGGCAGGATCCAGTTCTTATCTGTCATTTCATCATTAACATACTAAGAATTTATGAAATGCTTCCAGGTTTTAAGGACTGGGCTGAAAGAATTCTCATATTGGCCACTTTGAAAATCTATAATAGCAATTGTTATTTTATGGGTTCAGTTCAGTCGTTCAGTCACTCACTCGTGTCTGACTTTTTGCGATCCCATGGACTGCAACATGCCAGGCCTCCCTGTCCATCAACAACTCCCGGAGATTACCCAAACTCATGTCCATTGAGTTGGTGATGCCATCCAACCATCTCTTCCTCTGTCGTCCCCTGCTCCTCATGCCCTCAATCTTTCCCAGCATCAGGGTCTTTTCCAACGAATCAACTCTTCACATCAGGTGGCCAAAGTATTGGAGTTTCAGCTTCAACATCAGTCTTTCCAGTGAACACTCAGGACTGATCTTCTTTAGGATGGACTGGTTGGATCTCTTTGCAGTCCAAGAGACTCTCAAGAGTCTTCTCAAACACCACATTTCAAAAGCATCAACTC